GATAACACTGTTGCTGCCAGCTAGAGTTCTCGGATCATCTGAAGATTACCTCCACTTTCCTTGACTTATTTCACCTGATGATTGAACACCTTAACGCTATACCTAGGGGGCGGAGGTTAGGTTAGGTTAGGTTAGGTTAGTGTTGATTAGGTCAGCGTTAGGTTTATTTTTAAGGTGAAATAACCCTGGGTGATAAACTTCATGTGGTCTGATTTTTTTTAAGACTCAGGTGTTAAATATTTTTTCCTCTTCATAACTAACCTCCCCACCCCCCCACCCCTTCCTCTCTCTGCACCTCAGCTCCCAACACCCCTTCATCCCTCTTCCTCTCCCTCCCCCATCCAGATCCCCACTTCCCCCACTTGTCCTGACCCACATCTTCTCTCTCCCAACCCCGCCTCTTCCCCTAACCCACACCTCCTAACCCACACCTCCTCCTCTCCCCAACCCTCATCACCTTTCTCACACTTCCTTATCGATCAGCATCACAAGCAAGGTCGACGGAATGCCGATGTATCATAATCCCTTCATCATCTCCTCCCCTCCCCACCCTCCTCCCCCTCCCTCCCTCACTCCCTCCCTCTCTCTCCTCACCCTCCCCACCCCTCTCTCACTCCCTCCCTCCCACCCCTCTCTCCCACCCCCTCCCTCCCTCCTCTCTCTCTCCTCCTCCCCTCCCCACCCTCTCTCATCCCTCCTCCAACCCCTCTCACTCCCTCCCTCCCTCCCACCCCCTCTCTCCTCCTCCTCCCTCCCACCCCATCTCTCCTCCCTCCCCCCCTCACCTCACTCCTCCCTCTCTCACTCCTCCCACCCCTCTCTCCTCCCTCCTCCCACCCCCTCTCCTCCCTCCCCTCCCACCCCTCCCTCCCTCCCTCCCTCCCTCTCTCTCACTCCCTCCTCCCCACCCCTCCCTCCCCCTCCCTCCAACCCCCTCCTCCTCCTCTGCCTTATCACCGTGAATCACTTGGTCTCAACACTCAGGCAGTCCCAGAAAAACAATGTAGCCGCTTGTTTGGTGAGATTAGTTGTCTTGGGCCAAGGTCATGACACCATACCCTCACACACATACACACACACATACAATACCCTCACACACACACACACACACACACACACACATACACACCCTCACACACACACACACACACACACACACACACACACACACACACACACACACACACACACACGCACACACACACACACACACACACACACACACTACCCTCCTACTCACACACGCTTCTTCCCTCACCTCACACACGTAAGCCTAAAGTGGCCCAAATTCTTAAATATCCGTAATATAAAAATAATAATGATAATAGTAAAAACAATAATAATATCAACAAGGCCAAGTAATAACAATAATGATAACACTAAAGCCAGATAATAATAACAAGGCCTACTCCACAGTTATCATTAATATAACATAAACATGAGTGTGAGCCCGGCACTCTGGCAGGCTGTGTCTCGGTGCACAATTATTAAATGTGTGTAAGAATACGACGATGATCACACTCGAGGGTGGGGACACGCACACACACACGAACACACGCACACAACACACACACACACACACACACACACACACACACACACACACACACACACGAACACACAACACACAACACGCACACACGCACACACACACACACGACAACACACACACACACACACGAACAACACACACACACACACGAACAACACACACACACACACACACACGACACACACACACACACACACGAACAACACACACGAACAACGCACACACACACACACAGAACACACACACACACACACACACACACACGAACAACACACACACACACAAACAACACACACGACACACACACACACACACACACACACACAACACACACACACACACAACAACACATGCACACACACACAACACACGCACACACGAACACACACACACACACACGAACACACACACACACACACACACAATAATGAAGGAATCACCACAAGGACTCTTGACCCAACGTTCACCACTCCATCTGAAACTATCCCCAATCAATTACACTTAATGATGTTGTTTGGTAATTAGTTCCACAACTCTTTTTACGAACCAATATTTACCTACTTTCTTCCGTAATTCTAAATATCTCTCACTTAAAGCCATTTCTACGTATTGGCTCCCGGATTTGTTTAAGTACCTTATTTATGACACATTTAACTTCGTCTTCCACTTTATACACTTCCTAATTCTCCGGTTTTGTCTTTTACTTCGGAATATTTTTTCAGGGAATCAAAATACATTATGTCTAAAAATGAACCAGAAATTACAACTGTGGTCTCAGTCACGTGAGGTATAGTTGAAATCAAAGATAATTATAATTCCTTACATGTTAAGGAACGTAAAAATAACCTCTATGTGTGTGTGTGTGTGTGTATGTGTGTGTGTGCGTGTGTGTATTACGAGTGAGTGCATGACACACGGCAGAGGAGGGAGAGGGGCAAAAACCTCCACCCCCGCCTGATCAATACTCCCCCACACCACGCGGTCGCCTCCTCCTCCACCCCCTCACCTACCACCAACGGTCACCCGCTAGTCAAGGTGTAGAGCGGTTACTGGTCACTCACCCACCCACTCACACACAGTCACTCACTCACAACTCGCCTTCCCCACACACACACACACACTCTACTCACCCCCCCCCCACACACCACACAGGCGTTAGTCACACCTTGGGAACAAAAATTAATATACCACTAACCATAAATGTGTCCCCGAATTTAAATACAGTATACAACACAGTACTACTAATACAAGTGGCCATAAATAATATCTGGCCTCATTTTGAAATTTCATGACCTCAAAAACTGGTGGTCAACGGGCATCTCATGTGCTGTCTTTCCTTGTGTTGAGAGTTCCATGTGTGTTCCGTTGTATGTGATATAATTGAGGTCTGAGATTATATAACCTATAATAATTACTAACACGACTCATGCGGTTCACAATTCGTTATACAAATTCCCATTGATTCAGTATGTATATAGATAATGTAGTTATGCGATATACAGACAAAATATAGTGTGGAAATATACATAAACTCCGGATGTAGAATACAGTATATACATAATTGCAGGACTAAAATATACAGTGCGGGTATTCATACAGTGGTTAAAACTGCACACTATATAAGCAATTAACTAACTAATTCTATTTGTCTGGAGTACACATGTTATTTTACTTCATGTTGACTGTAGGCACCAATTTTATTGTCTAACGCTGGTATCACGTTAACATTAAGCACCATAGTTTATTTGAACTTATGATTAATCACCCGTACACTAAATTAACCGACCATAACCTAATCGAATTCCCCCAGGTAATAAGCGTTAGGGTGTTAAATCATCAGATGAAATAAGCTAGAGGCTAATCTTCGCGTAATCCTTATTTGATGCGAGTTTAAATTGTTTACATTTTATCCTGTGTTGTTTCAATGTTTTGTAACACTATCGGACTTGATGGCCTCACACAGCACTTTAATTAACACTAAAATAACAACTTAAATGTATGAGTCATCCGCGTGATCAGCAGTGGAAAGTGACTTGTTTGTGGAGCGCCAGCAGTAAACACGATCACGCAAGAGCTGACGTAACTGTTCTCACCTAACCTAACTTGCCTTCCTAGCAACACACTAACTGGCTGGACCAAGGATCTCTCCGCTCAGTGTGTGTCTCCAGGGCAAAGGGAGGAAGATACTATGTGGATCATGTTACTTGGCGTCTGCTAAATACGAGACAATACCGGTTACAACATTACACAGGCTCAGATGGCATAAAGTTTGACAAATCAACGTTCTCGTGCGTGGCCTGAAGCAGAAAATCAACAAAAATTTTTTTACCTAACCTACACGAGTGGTTGAAACAATATAGTTTATAGAATTATTTTAAGTGATCTTATTTAGGTAAAATTGTCGTTTCGGTCATCCACCTATTTGGAAAAAGGTCAGAATCGTTCAAAACACATAAAAAACCATCGGAAAAACATAATTTCAACTTAATCTAACCCAACTCAATTTAAACCTAACCTAAACCTCTCTCGGACGATGGTAACTTAAATTATCTATGGTTCAGAATTATGCTTCCAACAGATCTTCCGTCAACTTCTTCGACGTGTACGTACTTGACATCTAACCAAAGTCCTTCCTTCACTCCACCTATTATGCAGCCTCAAGGGTCGCAGGCTCCGGACGTGCCCAGAGCAACAGGGAGAATCAAAGCACAACCGTAAATTACTCCGAGTGTATCACCGTGGAACTGGAGCCAATGGGCGGACAACCTCCTCCAGACCATGAATCTGGGTCACCTCACATAATTGGGTACCCTCTCACCTATCCCTGGTACACGGGACATTTTGATACCATAGAGTTAACGTATACTGGGGAAACATACGCAAACACTTATCAAATTATTGTCTTAGCCCCATGTTCAAGAATCTTACTTACATTACCGTGCACGACTAGTGATAAAAACAACAGCGTTATAGGATAAAAACGTTAACTGTTGATTCTTCAGTATGATTCACTCTCCAACCAACAAAAACATCAAACTTCCTGACCTGGGACATATCCCTGGGCAGGCAACAGAGCGCGTCTCCTGGGATCAAGCACTCCCTCTCGCACATTCCACTACAACGGCGGACAGATCACAGCATCCTTCACCTTCCGTTGAAATCTCCACTCACGGGTTTTATTGAATGTCAAGCAAATCCAGTTTTTTGTGATCGCTCTGCCTCTCTAGACCAGCGAGCGAACATGGAGGGAGGTTTACACCTATCACCTTGTGTGACCCGACCAGTATCTGTAACACAGTAGGTTCCCGCGCTTTGCCATGGGTCATGATTTTGGGAGTGTGGTCACCACTACGAAGCTTCTACCGACAAAGGGAACACGGTGAGGCGGGTGGCAGGCGCTTCCCACAAGCTAGACAGGACACACACACACACCTCACTCTGACCTTACCTTAGCTGTAGCCTTCTTGTAGCGGATGGTAGCTTTGTGTATAAGGTCCCGCACCAGGATCTCTCCCTCGCCGCACGGTACAACCACCCGCACCGACCCGAAGCACACCGTCACTTTCATCTCGCCTGTCCCCCTTCTGGCGTCTAGGGCATCCAGGGCCACTTTTAAGCTTGCAAGGCCTCCTCAGAGGCCGGCCTGGTACTCTAGAGAAGGTCTGCTGGCAACCCCCTCAGGTAAACAACTACCTGGATCCGCCATGTTTACGCTTGGCAGTGGGACATGTTCACCTATCCAACCACCTGCCGATATTTGAGGTTTTCAATCACTATCGCTCACTAATATTTCTTTTATCTATTCCAAACTTCTAATTACACATTCACTGCACCATGAGCCTTCTGCGAGATTCGTAAAAATTTATAATCAACGCGATTTCCTTCATACTTTAGCAAGAAAACGGCAGCATTACCACCCACTCCCGGATCTTTGTGACAACTGAGGGCTTGGTGGAGGCAGCGCCACTAGTGGCCGACCACCGGACTATCTCACAAACACACGCACGTGAGCCACACACATGGGCGTAATATGACACGCTACGGCATCTCTCTATAAACCGAGTTTGAAGGTGCCATTGTTTTTTGTTTGTTTGATGATTCTACAGGAGATTATACTTACTAAGTTATATTTAGGACGAACAAAGACACAAACATAAGGAAATGGGAAAATATAAGTACAACTTAAGAAATATTTACTACAAATAAATACAGTACAACCGCTGGTGTCACAAAAGCCACTATTAGTCAACACAAAGCAGATTTCTTTCAACCACGCACACCAACAACACCAACATGTAAATATATATTGAAAAAAATACATGACAGTAACGTTACAAGTACACACAACGCTCACAATAAAACAATATTACATTGTTATAACACAAACTAACACCTAGACAATGTGCCTCTTCTCCAAAAACAAACTCATCAACAACAACAGTCTCCCCCCTCACGTAACTAACAGCTCATCCACCCACACGGTAAAGAAAAAAGAAACAAACATCTCTCTCTCTCTCTCTCTCTCTCTCTCTCTCTCTCAATCACAACACAGGCCAACGGACTGAACATCACCAACACTTCCTCCAATCCCTCCACCTCCATCACCCCCACACCACCTCCACCACCCACACCACCTCCATCACCCCCACACCACCTCCTACCTCCTCCACTACCCACACACCCCTCCACTACCCACACCCCTCCTCTCCCTAACCAATCTGGAAGCCATCTACCGTTTATGAAAGAAATAAATTGGTGAAAGAGGAAAAGAAATCATTGTGTGAGTGTGTGTGTGTGTGTGTGTGTGTGTGGAGTGTGTGTATTATTAATATTTAATATGTGTGTGTGTGTGTGTGTGTGTGTGTGTGTGTGTGTGTGTGAGTGAGTGTGTGTTTGTGTGTGTGTCATCACCGTTATTAACATTCTTATCACTCCTGTTCCCTTACATGATTGGTCACGTCCTCAGAGTTGATAAGGTCCTTAACCAGAATAGATGTTTATCGCCTCCCTCGCTATCATGGGGTACTCGCTGATAACCGCACTGATAAGGGGAGGAAGGGAGGATGTTCACCTATTAGCCTCCTGCTGGTGGTCACATCCTGGGTCTACCATTTAGGATTCTCTCAACTATATGTAGGATTTTGTGTAAATATTAGGGTCACCTGAAGATTAACCCCCTCCTGTTTAATTCCTTAAAAGATTAACCAAGCTAACTAACTGGTTTAACCTAACCTGGTTTAGCTTCTAAACTAGTTAACCTAACCTAACCTGGATTTAACCTAACTAACCTAGTTTAACCCTAACCTAACCCTAGTTTAACCTAACCTAACCTAGTTTAACTAACCTAACCTAGTTTAATCTAACCTAGTTTAACCTAACCTAAACTAATCTACCTTACTCTAAACCTAACCTAACCTAACCTAGTTTAACCTAACCTCACCTAGTTTAATCTAACCTAGTTTAACCTAACCTAACCTAGTTTAACCTAACCTAACCTAGTTTAATCTAACCTAGTTTAACCTAACCTAAACTAAACTAACCTACCCTACCCTACTCTAAACCTAAACTAACCTAACCTACCTTATCCTAACCTAACCTAACGCTAACTATTTAACCCCCCCCCCCAAGGTAGCATTAGGTTGGTAAATCATAAGGAAATAAACTGGGGGTCTAATCTTCAGGTGATCCCATCGATTTTGACACACACACATTCCTGACGGCATTACGACACTCTATAGTCCGGGGCAGGTGTTATAAGCCAGTGATTACAGGTGTTTTGAAATATATCCATGTATCAGTGTTAAGAAACCTTCAACCTAACTTATGTTCAGGTAATCGTACGTGGTATCACCTGTACATTCACTCTCCAGGATATTTCACCTGTATATTAATTACAACTATGCTAACCTAACCTAATCAAACACTACCCAACCATATTTGACCGAATCTAACCTAACCTAACCAAACTTAACCTAATCTAACCCTAACCTAACCTAATCTTACCTAACCCAACCTAATGTAACCCTAACCTAATCTAACCTAAGTAAATTTAACCAAACCGAACTAAACCTAATTTAACTTATCCGAACCTGATCTGCCCTAACCTAATCCAACCTAACCTAACTTAATCTAACCTAACCCAATAGGTGGCGTTAGGGTGGTTAATCATCAGGTGAAATAAGCTGGTAAGGTGAATCTTTTGAGAGTAAATAAACGAGCCGTCCTTGGCTCTATGTACTGTATGTGTGGTCTGATAAAGGAAATATTATATAGTGTGATGGTAGCAGTACTGTATCTGGTCACAGTGATGATGGTAGCAGTACTGTATCTGGCCATAGTGATGATGGTAGCAGTACTGTATCTGGTCACAGTGATGATGGTAGCAGTACTGTATCTGGTCACAGTGATGATGGTAGCAGTACTGTACCTGGTCACAGTGATGATGGTAGCAGTACAGTGATGATGTACAGTACTGTACCTGGTCACAGTGATGAGCGGCAGGCACTGTACCTGGTCACAGTGATGATGGTAGCAGTACTGTGTATCTGGCCATAGTGATGATGTAGCAGTACTGTACCTGGCCATAGTGATGATGGTAGCAGTACTGCATTCGGTCATAGTGATGATGGTAGCAGTACTGTATCTGGTCACAGTGATGATGGCAGTACTGTACCCGGCCATAGTGATGATGGTAGCAGTACTGTACCTGGTCACAGGATGATGGTAGCAGTACTGTATCTGGCCATAGTGATGATGGTAGCAGTACTGTGACCAACATAGTGATGATGGTGGCAGTACTGTACCTGGCCATAGTGATGATGGTAGCAGTACTGTATCTGGCCATAGTGATGATGGTAGCAGTACTGTACCTGGCCATAGTGATGATGGTAGCAGTACTGTATCTGGTCATAGTGATGATGGTAGCAGTACTGTATCTGGTCACAGTGATGATGGTAGCAGTACTGTACCTGGCCATAGTGATGATGGTAGCAGTACTGTATCTGGCCATAGTGATGATGGTAGCAGTACTGTATCTGGTCACAGTGATGATGGTAGCAGTACTGTATCTGGTCATAGTGATTGATGGTAGCAGTACTGTACATAGTGATGATGACTGGTATCTGGTCACTGTACTGTGATGATGGTAGCAGTACTGTGCCTCATAGTGATGATGGTAGCACTGTGGATGATGATGGTAGCAGTACTGTACTGGCCATGGTAGCAGTAGTGCCATAGTGATGATAGGTACATTGCTGTGGCCATAGTGATGATAGCAACAGTCACAGTGATGATGGTAGCAGTACTATAGTGATGATGGTACATCTGGTGATGATGGTAGCAGTACTGTACCTGGTCACTGATGATCTGGCCATAGTGATGATGGTAGCAGTACTGTATCTGGTCACAGTGATGATGGTAGCAGTGCTGTAGTCAGTGATGATGGTGTACTGTAGCCATAGTGATGATGGTAGCAGTACTACACAGTGATGATGGTAGCAGTACTGTATCACAGTGATGATGGTAGCAGTACTGTATCACAGTGATGATGGTAGCAGTACTGTACAGTGATGATGGTGGCCTGGGCAGTGATGATGGTAGCAGTACTGTACCTGGCCATAGTGATGATGATGGTAGCAGTACTGTACCTGGCCATAGTGATGATGGTAGCAGTACTGTACCTGGTCACAGTGATGATGGTAGCAGTACTGTACCTAGCCATAGTGATGATGGTAGCAGTACTGTATCTGGCCATAGTGATGATGGTAGCAGTACTGTATCTGGCCACTAGTGATGATGGTAGCAGTACTGTATCTGGCCATAGTGATGATGGTAGCAGTACTGTACCTCATAGTGATGATGGTAGCAGTACTGTACCTGGTCACAGTGATGATGGTAGCAGTACTGTACCTACATAGTGATGATGGTAGCAGTACTGTACCTGGCCATAGTGATGATGGTAGCAGTACTGTATCTGGCCCTAGTGATGATGGTAGCAGTACTGTATCTGGTAGCTGCAGTACTGTATCTGGCCATAGTGATGATGGTAGCAGTACTGTATCTGGCCATAGTGATGATGGTAGCAGTACTGTATCTGGCCATAGTGATGATGGTAGCAGTACTGTACCGGGCTATAGTGATGATGGTAGTAGTACTGGTATTCACATAGTGATGATGGTAGCAGTACTGCACCTGGCCATAGTGATGATGGTAGCAGCATTGTACTCAATATGAAGTAGAGATGATGGTAGTAGTACTGTATTCACATAGTGATGATGGTAGCAGTACTGTATCTGGCCATAGTGATGATGGTAGCAGTAATTGCATTCAATATAGTATATGGTAACAGTACTGCATTCACATAGTGATGATGGTAGCAGTACTGCATTCCACATAGTGATGATGGTAACAGTACTGTACCTGGTCATGATGATGGTAGCAGTACTGTATTTGGCCATAGTGATGATGGTGGTAACAGTAATTGTATTCCACATAGTGAGGATGGTAGCAGTTACTGTACCTGGTCATAGTGATGATGGTAGCAGTACTGTATTCAATATAGTGATGATG